TGCCAAGACATATTAACCGAAAAAGGCCAGATGACTGAGGTCACTCCCCATTATCAAGAGATTTCTGATGGCTGGGAACAAAAAGATCCTCCAAGCATCCGGAAGTCGGGGGGGAAAGCAAAATTTTATTGGCATGCACATGCCCAACCATTTACAGATTGCAATGCCTTTACTGTGTAGGGGCGGGGTCAGAGGGCTGCTCTGGACACTGGCCAACAGAGCAAAGCATAATAATTAGCTGGTCTTTGAAGAAATAGTCTGCTGACCCCTGGTACAAAAGACAAGAATGAGAATGGTGGAAACCAGAAGCTAGAGGCCAACAGAACAAACCTTCGAAATAGGAGAGAAAGTGGCTACCAAGCTAGCCTGGGCTCCCTGGTCATGCTCCCCAGCCTGAGGCTAGAAGAAAGGCACCCCCGGGATGGGAGAAATCAGTGTACTTTCCACAGCTCCTCTTCAGGGAGCCAGCCCAGGGGGTACCTCATTACAAAAGGGGAGTAAACAGGCCTGATTCCCTGAAGGTGGGCACCCCAAAGGGCAGGGCCCCTGCCTGGCTTGTTCACCATTAGCCCAGGGGGTGCTCTCCAGGGACAGCTGCTGGAAAGAACGCATTTGGAAGGGGTTTCTGCCCACATGTTGTTCATGGGTGAGGAGCAGCTACTGGGGGAAGCGATGTCCCTTGTGGTTGTAAGTACTTAGGTACTAGACCTGCCCCCTCCTTCGGGTAATGAGTGACAACCCAGCAGGTTCATCTCTTCCCCAGAGAATGCAATCCCCTCCTAAGTGTGCCACTTAGGCGAAGAGAATTCTGGGGTCTTTATCTCTCTGTGACTAGATTATAGAGGGCATGACCTCTGGGTGGTAAAAACAAGGAGTGATGAGTGATGTCCCCCACCCCATGATGATCAGGGAATGGGGTGTCACCCTCAAGTTACTAGTGGCTGGGAGGTCACACATCTCAAAAGGTGATAACTACTCAGGTGCTGCGTATCAAGGTGATGGGTGATGAGGGGCAGGCTCCTCTGGTTTCTTGTGGATGAGGGAAAAGGGGCTCTCCCACTCAATGAGGGATGGCGGTAGTATGTTCCCAAGGTATTTACCAAGTTATTCCTCTTAGTGAGGAGTGTTTAAAGCTGGGACCCCCTGATGGGTGGGTATCTCCCTCTTGGATAATCAGTGATAAAGAATGCCTCACCCCCTCACCCCCAGAGTGATCAGGGATTTGGAAACACTGCGCCCTCTCTGGGTAATTTAGGTGAGACCAGAGGTTGGGGGAGCATGTTAGTTTGTATATGAATGTGCATACGGCTGGAGATGCTGGGGGGCAGGCAGCCTACAAGGGAAGAGGGTGCCCTGAGCAAGCATCCACCTGCCCAATATCCAGAGGGACTAACGTCTCTCTCAAAATAGCCTCACTTGCTCAACTAGATGAAGGGATGTTTAAAAACAGTCAAAAGACAGACCAGTGGCTGAAAACAGGATGAGCAGCAGGAGCTGCTCAACTGAAGGAAGGCCTGAAGCTGCCAACTTTAGACCTGGGCCAACTCCTGTGCTGGGCTGGTCCAGTCTCTGTGGCTTCAAATGCTGCTCCCAATGCCCAGATGCTCCCTCCCAGTCTCCCAATTCATATGCTCCACTGCTTATTTACTGTCTCCTCCTGGATGCCTGATATAAGATGTTGAGAACTGAACTCCCAATACTCTGTCCATCCGGCCCTGTCACCCCTCAACATCCAATCATTAACAAATTATGTTGGCTCCACTTTAAAACACACTAGAATCCACTGACTTCTCATAACCGCTGTTTGCTCCATGCCCAGTTGTCACTCACCTGGACCACCGCCGACACCTCCACCCTGCAACACCCTTTGTCTGCCCCTGATCCTATAGCACCCAGATCAGTTTATAACTCCCCTGTTTAGAACCCTTTAAAGGTTTCTGCTATAGTCTGAATGTTTGTGTTTTATCCCAAAATGCATATGATGAAACCTAACCCCCAGTGTGATGGTATGGGGAGGTGGGGCCTTGAGAAGGGGATTAGGTCCGAAGGGTGGAGTCCTGGTGAATGAGATGAGTGCCCTCTTTATTTATTTGTTTGTTTGTTTGTTTATTTATTTTTTAATTTATTTTTTAATTTTTTTATTCATTTATGATAGTCACACACAGAGAGAGAGAGAGGCGCAGAGACACAGGCAGAGGGAGAAGCAGGCTCCATGCACCGGGAGCCTGACGTGGGATTCGATCCCAGGTCTCCAGGATCGTGCCCTGGGCCAAAGGCAGGCGCCAAACCGCTGCGCCACCCAGGGATCCCCGATGAGTGCCCTCTTAAGAGCTCTCTCATCCTCTGCCACGTGAGGACACAGTAAAAAGACAGCCATCTACGAACCAGGAGGCAGGCCTTCACCAGACCAAACATCTGCTGGCGCCTTGCTCTCAGACCTTCCAGCTTTCAGAACCATGAGAAATAAATGTGTGTTGTTTATAAGCCACCCGGTCTGCGGTATTCTGCTGTAGCAGCACCCATGGACAGAGCAGCACCCATGGACAGAGACAGCTTCCAAATACCATCTGCTGGCTGCAGCCCCCTCGGCCTTGCCCAGATGACTCTAGGCTGGAAATGCCCGTCAGCGGGCACAACTTCTAAATGCCGTCCTTTCGTGAGGCCTCCTGTGGGGCCTGCCCAATCTTCCTCACAGGGATCCCTAGCAGCTCAGCCTGGGCCTCAGTACATCGTCTTATCCCCACTCGGGGAGCGGGGTTGAAGCCAAGCCTCAGTTTTACCGCTGTAACGAAGCACCTATTGCAGGATCAGGTTCTTACACTCACTCCCAACGGGGACTTACCTGATTCCAGGTAGCAAAGTTGACTTTGTCAGCAGCATTGAAGGCCATGATGTTGCATTTTTTCGTTGTGTTTCTGGGGTGGGCAAAAAGAGGCTGCTCTCAGTTCACCGTTCATTTAACAAACCCTCCCGTGGCTCAGCAACGCTGGGGACCCACAGAAGCCCTCAGGGGTTCCGGGTCTCCCAGTCTCTCCCGACCCCTCTGCTGAAGAAGAGCAGGAAGGGAGGCACAAAGGTCGGGGGATAATGGAGACCTCTGTCCTGGGGGCGGGGGCGGGGGAGGGCAGGCAGGGCATGTTTCCCAGAGGAGGAAGATCGTGGGGCTGGGTTTTATAGGACCGACAGGAGTCACAAGGCCGGGGAAAAGGCCTTCCTGCCGAGAGAAGGCTAGGCCAGGAGGCTGCATCCCACGTACCGCCCACTAATGGGCTCGCTCATTCATTCATTCATTCATTCATTCATTCATTCCGTTGCAAACACGGGATGCACCTCGGCTCAACCCCAGCCCTGGGCCCAGGTCCCTGCTCCTCGGGAGGCGGCATCACAGGCGGCGCCAGGCTGGCCTGGGAGCTCAGGAAGCGGGGAGAGGGCTGCGGGACTTACTTGGGAACTCGGACGACATACTCGGTGACGTTCTGGCTGCTGGGGCCCTGCGGGCAGAGGAGGGGGGGCGGTGGGTGAGTGGGGGGGGGCTGCAGAGGCGGCGCCGCCGCGACCCCCGAGCTCCCCCGTGTACTCACGAGGGCCGCCATGGTGACGGTCGGGGGTTCGGGTCCGCTGCGGCCCGCGCCCCTCAGTCCCGGGGAAGCCGCCCGCGCGCCGCCGGGTCTCTGGCCCGGATCGAGGGGGCCGCTACCCAGAAGTCGGTCTTCTCGGGGAACCGCTCCGGCCGCGTCTGCGCCTGCGCCTAACCCGGACGCGACACTCGGGCCGCGGCGCGACGGCAACCTCCTCCGCGTCCCCGGGGACGGCCCAGACCGACCCCGACGCGGAACACACCCGGTCTGCGGCGGGAGCCGCGTCGCGCCTCTCTATATAGCGCGATTGACTTAATCAGCCCTGTGGCCACGCCTCCTCGTGACATCACATCCGGGGGCCGCGGGGCGTCCTGGGAGAGGAGGGAGGAACCTAGCCTCCCTCGCGAGCTCTCGGGCGCCTCGCGCATGCGCCACTGCACTCCGGAAGTGAGTCGGAGGAGGCCGCGTCACCATAGCGACCGGGGCCTCTTAGTCGGCGTCGAGCTGTTGGGGCGCCGCCAGCTGCGCCCCTTTGGGTTCATTTCCTCCTTCTGCCCCGGGGAGACCTCATCGTCTCGCCAAGTGATCGGGCCCTTGTGACGTAGAGCCGAGCCCGGAGGAGGAGTCAGGGCCCGGGTGGGGATGGGGCGCGACCACCCCAGGGCCGCTGGTGGGATGGGTCTGTGCAAGTCCAAGCTGCCCGAGGTGGGCAGGCCCCTGCGACCCCAGGAGAAGGGTAACGTCGCAGGGGCGCTGGCTCACGGGGGGGAGGAAGGAGGCCGTGAAGGGCACGAGGGAGGTGCAGGTACCCCACACCCAAGGCCGGTGTGCACACGCCCCGCCCCCACCCACCCGTGGCAGTCACACAGCTGCACATGCTGGAGGATCAGCCGCGCTTTGATCCGCTTGGGCACCTGCTGCGCGGGGTTCTGGGCACTCCACGGCGAATATGTCACACTAGCTGACCGGCCTCCAGGAGATGACAGTGTAGACAGGGAAGGAGACAGTCTCAGAAAAATGGTATCGGCGAGCAGGAGGGAGCAGGGCTGCCACCGGGAGAGAGGGGCCGGCTCTGCGGCCCCCAGGAGAGGGGAGGTTTAAAGTTTACGTTGGGCCCTGTGGGATGCCTGGGAATTCACTAAGCCAAGCGGGAGGGAAGCAAGACACGGAAATTGCATTATCGACTACTGCACTGCCTTAGAGACGCCTGGTAGCCACGCACCTTCGTTTGCTCATCACCCGCTACCGCAGGCCAGGGACCGTGGCAACTGGTAAAAACCGGGGACCAGCAAGACAGAACTGGTCCTTGCCCTCCCGGAGCACAGAGTGTGGCTGGGGAGACGGACAAGAACAAGGAAACAGGCAAAATCCTAGCTGATCGTGGCTGCTGCAGTGGAGGAAATGTGGCCCTGGGACCGAATGATGGGGGGAGGTCCGGAGGGGAAGCCTGATGGGCGGGCGGGCTGTGTCCTGAAGGCAGCGGAGCAGGGACTTGGTGTGCAGGGGGAGCAGCGGGAGAGGGATGAGTTTGGCAAGTTCAAGGGACAGAAGAGGCCAGGGGGGCTGGACCAGAGGGAAGGAGGAGGAGGGCGGTGTGGGATGGCCCGGAGAGGGCGCGAGTCCCTGCCCCGCTCTGAGCCTGTTTCCTCAACTGTCAAACAGGACAGTCGAGTCATTGAGGTTCTTCAAGGAGATGCTGTGTGCAGAGGGCGTGGCCTGCTCGGGGTCAGCATCCTCTTCGCAGCCCCCCAAACCCGCCCCCGTAGCAGCGCTAACCCATGTCCTGTGTGGATATACCACTGGGCATGGATGCTACCCCCAGATGCCACCCTAGGGCAAAAATTGGTAATGCCAGGAGACCCGTGTCCCACATCACTCACCCGAGGACACACACTAGGCTGTGGACACAGACACATCGGTGCGTGCTGGCCCCTGCCAGCACCAAACCCTCTCCCCACCTCTTCCCTGGGCTCCCACAGACATCCTCAAGTCTCCCCTGATCATCTTCGTGATGGGTGGCCCAGGTTGTGGCAAAGGGACACAATGCAAGAACATGGCGACCAAATACGGCTTCCGCCACGTGGGGCTGGGCCAGCTGCTGCGGCAGGAGGCCCGACGCAGCACCCAGCGGGGCCGGAAGATCTATGACATCATGCTGCAGGGGCTCCTGGTGCCCACGGTGAGAGCTCACAGGCACTGGGGCAGAGGGAAGAAGGGGGTACTTGAGGATGGGCTTCCCTGGAAGCCCCCTGGAAGCCCCCTGGAAGCAGAGAGGCCCAGAAGGCCGCCACTCCCACTGCTTTGCTGCCCTTGAGCCTCGTGTCCCCACCTGTCAAAGTGGAAGAGCAGCTGGACTCCCAGCAGGAGTCCGTAGTGAGGGTTGGCTGACCTCATTGCCATAAAGCACGTGGCAAAGTGCCTGCAACTTAACGAGCGCTCGGTAAAGTCAGTAGTTATTACTCTCGTGACCTTGGGCATATGTCACTGGCCCCTTCTGTACCTGTTTCCTCCCCTGTAAAAGGAAGGTCCCCCCCCCCCCCGCCGTACCTACCTGTAGGACGGTAGCGATGAGTAAATGAGACCTCGCAAGCCTGGCACACGGTAGCCGCTCTGCCCGGTAGACCGGCTTGGCGCAGCAGAGCAGCCTCGGCATCCTGGGCGCTGGGCAGGGCAGGTGCTCCCCTGGACTCACCTGAAGTCCAGACCCAGGAAGCGCACTTGACAAGGTGGTCATGTAGGTGAGGGACCCCCGGGGCACCAAACCCGCCACCCCTTTCCTTCCCAGGGCATCATCCTAGACCTGATCAGCAGCACCATGCTGTCTCACCCAGAGAGCCGAGGCTTCCTCATTGACGGCTTCCCGCGGGGGCTGAAGCAGGCCAAGGAGTTTGAGCGCCTTGTGAGTGACCCCAGGGTGTGCAAGCGTGCGGTGAGGCGTGAAGCCGCTCCCCGCCTCCCTGCCTTGAATGGAGATCAGAAGGAGTGAGACTTGGGGGAGAGGAGATGGCAAGGGGGGAAATGGGGTTTTAAATTTTCAAGGGACAGTCGGGAGGGAGATGGTTGGAAGCTTCTAGAACCTGTGTAGGTAGCTGGTGAGCTGGCCGGGACAAAGTCCTATTAATATCTTCCTGCACATCAATTATTTGCCCACTGAAGAGCACGTGGGGTTAGTATCATCTCTGGGCCATTGACATGGAGTCTAGTTATCCGTTCATTTATTTATTCAACCACCTGTCCCCAGATCTTTCGAGAACAGGCTCTGTCCTTAGGATTCAGTCCCTGCTCTTAGGATGCCAGGTGCTGACCTATACGTGACTCGCTGGACAAAACAGAGACATTTCAGGTCGCGGTGAATGCAGTAAGGAGGAGACAGAACGACATCCTGGAGGGACACAAGTGGGCTGTTTGGGGTGCGGGCCCAGGTGGCCTCCCTGAAGCCAGGACATTGGACAGTTGAGCTGTGCCAAGGAGGAGCCAGCTGCGTTTCTTCAGGTTCCTTCTGCATGCCAGCCGCGCTGACTTCGTGAAAAGGCCCATCTGCCCCCTTGAGCAGCCAGAAGACTGGAAGGTCTGGAAATGGCCAAGCGGGAGAAGAGGCAACCTGTGGCAGGTTGTCAGCCTCCAGACTGTTCTGGAACTTGCTGGAATCGGTTGAAATGCCTTCGGAGAAGTCCAGGTGGGGATCCAACAGAGGTGGCCCAGGGCTGGGGCAGGGCAGCTGGATGGCGCAGCTTCCCTTGAAAATCGCCTGGCTTGGCAACGCAGGGCCTGCATGTCCCCATGGCAACAGCAGCATGAATGCATCTTGAGCTTTTTACTGAGCCCAGCGCTGTTCTCGACCCTACTTGGATGAGCTCTGATCTTTCGGAACATTCCAGAGAAATGTTTCTTGCACCGTCACCATCCTGCTTTTTTTACAGAGGGATCGGGCAACTTGCCCCGGGTCATACAAGTTAGGTGGCGGGCACAGGCCTTCCCTAGGCCCCAGCAGTCAGTTCCGAGGCCTAGATTCTGACCACGTCAATGGGGGGCCCCTCTCCGCCTCACTGTGGTCCCCCCTTCACCCGCGGAGGGTTGCCTTCCGTCATGGAGGCTGAGCACCATCTGCCAGCTAGGGTCGCACTGGCGTTGTGGATTTACGCTAAGGGGAACAGAACCGGTGCTTTTCTCTTGTGCCCGTGCGGCTGCTAGAGGTGGAAAAAAGGAAATAAATGGGGCTCTGTGCGATGACGGTGGGTTTTCTTTGTGGAGAATTTTCTAGATCTCTGCAAGCTGCCAGGCCCCTGTCGGCCTTTGAGGATCCTGGAGGCCCCTGCTCAGGCCCTTCCCCACCGACCCTGCTGGCCTTGAGCGTCTGTTTTGAGGGTCGCGTCGGTGCAGCGGGTCTGGCTTGAAGCGGGCGCCCCAGAAGTCTCTGCCCGCAAGGACACACTGCCTGGGGACCCTGCCCTTTGCCACTGCTCTTCTTTCTGTGTACCTTCAAGACACCCCCAGGGGCCTTTTGAGGGCCAAGGTGCTGAAATTCAGAGGAAGCCGCCCTGGGATGTTGTGTCGGACTCCTAGGGAGATCAGTGCCCCCATTCTGCAGACAGGGAAATCGGGAGCCACAGAGGGAAGGTTACCCTTGGAGGTGGGCCAGCCTAGTGCAGACACTGGCTTTGGAGCCAGCGAGACTGGCGTGCAGGTCACACTCGGTCTGTGACTCGCACGAGGCTTGGCCTCCCAAGCCTCAGTGTCCTCCTCTGTGAATGTGGACAGAAACGCTACAGGCGTCTCCTCGATGTGGGGACACGGGGAAGGAAGGCTGACTCCCGAGGCAGCGGCCCGTGTGTTTCCAAGACTGCACCAGTCACCCCTGCACCTGTCTGAGAACACAGCTCGGGAGCCGAGGCCCGGGGATGGGTGGCCTATGTCGAACGAGCCCACGGGGACTCCCTGCCGGGGGCGCCGAAGACAACCAGACAGCCACGTGCAGCTCCGGTTATTAGAATCAGGTCGGACTTTGTTGGAGCGTCCTTGACCAGTGGCCCTGAAACGCCCATTTCTCTGCGTGGATGTTTGTCCCAGAAGTGTCACCTGCGGGGAAACTCCCCTGTTCACGGAAGAAGACTTTAAAATAATGATGTATTTTTAAAAACTTGTTGTTAATTATAGCCTCACAGGAAATTGCCTTGTACCCTTCACCCAAGTCCCCAACCCCCCTACTGGTGACATCTTATTCCGTGGGTCGTCCAGGATCACAAGCGGGCTGTTGGCATCACGGCGTATTTTGATTTTACAGTTACCTCCAGAGCAAGCGGTGCTCTCTTTCCCTTTACCAAAGTGCTCCCGTTGCCCCCCTCCCAGCCCCACAGGAAGCAGAAAAAGGCACTTGGTGGAATGCGGTGTCTTAAGTGACAGCACAGGCAGTGGCATACAGGCCCAGGATGTGCAAAGTCTGTGCAAGCTGACCCCACAAAGCCTCGTGCTCGGAAGCACAAGGGGATCAAGGCCCCCACGCACGTCCCGTTCACTGTCCCTGCCGGGAAGGAGAGGTGTGTACGTGCTTGTGCACACAATCAGCACGATCTAAGGGATCCCCGTGTGCCCAGATCAAACTGTCATCGAGGTCTGGCCACACGTGCTCTATCTGCGCCTCGAACGTCTTGTTGCAGTGGCCGATCGATGGTGTCCTTTGAAGCGGGTTCTGGGGCCCATTCTGGGCGCTCCCTCACCCAACCGCTCCCGACATGGCCAACGTTCCTGCCTCGAGACCATCTGATGCCCAGGCCACCTCTGAGTTTCCCCAGTGTCTGAAGAGCGTCCCTTTGATTTCCATGTGGTTAGATTTGCCAGCTGAAACGAGGCCCACACCTCGCTCGGTGTCTCCTAATCCAGGGCGGCGCATCCACCCTGCCTGCTTCCCTCCTGCCTTGGACTCACCGAAGAGTCTGGGTTCCTACCTCGCCTCTCTACCCCTCATTCGCTCTGCACACGCAGAGTTAACTACTGACGTGCTCAGATTTGGGTTCTGTACGTTGTGTGTGTGTGTGTGTGTGTGTGTGTGTGTGTGTGTGTGTGTGTGTATTTCATCCAAAATATTTCAGTATATATTTTCCAAAAGATGAAGATTTTTGTAAAGTCAAAACACTGCCACGGTCACACGTTAATATCTTCCGCGTCCTCAAACGACTCGCCAATAGTCAGATGTCCGTGAGCGTCTTCAACATCCTTTTCTTCTTAAGAGGAAGCGGTTGTAATGAGGATTTAGGTAAGGGTCACAGTGTGTAGTTGGTCCTACGTCTCACCTGCCTTGTCGTCAGACAGGTGCTCCTCCTGTCTCGGCTGCTGCTGTTTCCCTTGCAACTGTGTTTCTCGAACAAGAAGCCGCGTCTTCGGGTCTCCTGAGTTGGCACAGCCTGGCTCTCGCTGGCTGCAAAGCGTTCTTCACCACGTTCCTCTCTCCAGTAGATGTCGTCGCCACCGCTAGTGTGTCTGGAGCTTGTTTGGGACTCCGATGCCGCTTTGTCCGGTGTCCTCCGTAGGCGTTGACGTGAACTTCTGTCGGGTGGCACGGGATGCCTTGCTGTCTCCTCACCGTGGGTGGATTATCTTTTTTTAAAAGACTTTATTTATTCATGAGAGACACAGAGAGAGAGAGAGAGAGAGAGAGGCAGAGACACAGGCAGAGGGAGAAGCAGGCTCCACGCAGGGAGCCCGATGCGGGACTCGATCCCGGGACTCTGTGATCATGCCCTGAGCTGAAGGCAGGCGCTAAACCGCTGAGCCACCCAGGGATCCCCTGGATTATCTTTTACAAGTATTCGAGTGTGCTATTCAGGAGGAGTCAGGCCCCTGAACGTCCGTCCACCGTGGACTTGAGAAAGTGGGAAAACGGAGTATGTGTTGTGCATGCAGGGTCCTTTCTTCCGTCCAGTTGTGAGGATGCTGGGGCTGTGACATCTCTGCGCTCCTGTGACATTCAGGCTTTGGCTCCTCCCCCGCGTGGTGGTAGATGAATCAGGGCGGATTGGGCGTAGAGCACTGTGATTCAATACTTTATGTCTTGCATAAATTCCCAGGAGGCTCCCACATGCCCGACTGGCACCCTCTCCGCGAGGGGTCTGTAATGGGCGGAACTGTGTCCCCCAAGATGTGTACGTGGAAGCCCTCACCTCCAGGGCCTCCAAATGTGCCTGTGTGGAGACAGGTGAGCAAGTTAAAAGAGGTCCTTGGGGGAGAGGGGGCCCCTGACCCAATCTGACTGGTGTCCTTCCGAGAAGAGATTAGGACACACACACACACACAGAGGGGACACGGGGCAGAGCTGGCATCGACCAGCCAAGGAGAGAAGCCTCAGAAGGAACTAGCCGTGTGGACGCCCTCATCTTGGTGTCCGGCCTCCAGGATTGTGAGAAAGTAGAGTTTGTAGGGGCCCCTGGGAGGCTCAGTCGGTGGAGCATCAGCCTTCAGCTCGGGTCGTGACCCCGGGGTCCTGGGATCGAGCCCCGCATCGGGCTCCATGCTCTCTCTCTCGCTATCTCTGCTGCTAGCTCTGTCTCCCTCTCAAATAAATAAAATCTTTTTTAAAAAATGAAAGTAGAGTTTCTGTTCTCTTGTTTGAGGCACGCACACGTGGCATTTTGTGGCGGGAGCCTCAACTGAGTACACCCGGTCAGACAGCGGGGGCCGCAAAGTGCCCCCTCCACCTCCCATCTCCTGGTTTTATTCGTGCTGGTATTCAGGCTGATAGATATTGCCAGTTTGCGATTTTTCCACACTGATTAGTGGGAATTCTTCCCTAAAGAAGAAATGTCTTTCCTCGTCAAGGGCTGTTGGGTTATCCTGAAATACACTTCCTACCAGACAGGTGGGCCAGGAGCTTAGCTTCCCTTCCTCGAGGGCCATTTTTCAGACTAAGGCGTTGGTGTCCTAGGTCCTTCCAATGGTGACCATGAGGTTGGTCATTTTTGCCTTCATTCATCTGGTTCTCTCTCATCACTCAGAACTCCATGGTCTTTGTTGTGGTCCTGCCAGCTGTCCCATCAGTGGCCAGAGTGGCACCTTTCTCGCTGACACGTGTGTCCTCTGACACGGCCACGCCCCCCCATGACCCCTACGCTCTCAGTTTCTGGCCTGACTTCCCACTTCCCACCCCTACTTTCCACATTTCCTGCTGAGCCCTCGAATTGGCGCTCCCTCGTAGGAGCCCTTTTACAGTGGCGTCCGGCCTGGGGGCCAGGGGAATTCATTGTCACTGGGTTGTCACCATTTCCAAACCTTTCCAGTGGTCAGAGCTGTAAAACACGCACTTGTGCAGGGGGCGGAATCCCAAGTTTGGGGCACCTGGGGGGCTCAGTGGGTGAGCATCTGCCTCCGGCTCAGGGTGTGACCCCGGGATCCTGGGATCCAGTCCCACGTCGGGCTCCCCTGCTGTGTCTCTGCCTCTCTCTGCATCTCGCATGAATAAATAAATAAAATCTTTTAAAAGAAATCCCAAGTTCATCCTGATGTTTCCAGTTCACACTTAGCAGGACAATGCCACCTCCTCTTTCCCTAAAACATCAGACTCCTAAAACCAATAACGTAGTCATTTGCATTATTCCATTAGGTGCAAAACTGTTTCCAGGGAATATACCACTACTAACTAGTAAAAATAAAACGACTGAAGGAAGTTTAAGATTTCTCTGTGGCTCTGACTTTCCTTATACTATTCCTCACTGTGGACGTACGTGGGGGAAAAAAAAAACACCGAGTTGCCTGAAATAATTATTTTCTCTATGTAGTTATGCGTGACAATAACTCAGGTACATTTGTTTCGGTTTGGTTTTGGATATTTAGGGATTGCCTTGTTACATTGAACTTTTGAATTTGCATGTTATTTGATGATCCCAAAGTCAGAGCCACATAAAAAGGTGTGCCGGAGTAAGAACTTGTTTCCAACCACTTCTGTCCGCCCCTAATCCCCAATTGTGTCCTCCTTTCCCCATAGGCAACTATTTTCATTAGTTTTTGGTTTGTCCTTCTGGTGTTTCTTTTTGCAGATATAAAGTGTGTGTGTGTGTGTGTGTGTGTGAGAGAGAGAGAGAGAGAGAGAGAGAGAGAGAGAGAGAGAGATCTTCCTCACACAAAAGCCGGCATTCTGTATATACGTGTCTTCACTTTTTTGAGCTTTACAGCATATCTCGCAGATCTCCTATGGGCATCGAGGATTTCCTTGTTTCCTTTCACGACTACTGTTCCATTGCGTGGCACTGCCGTCGTCTATCCAGCTGATAACCCGTTGACAGTAACTTGCCGGACAACGTGTTGACAGGCAATAAGCTGTGTGCGGTCGTGTGCCGCTACGAGCAATGCCGCACCGAATAACCTCTGCATGGCAGGTCAGATTTTTGCTAGTATCTTTACGATAGGTTCCTCCGAGTGGGTTTGTGAGATTAAACAGAAACCTGTCGATCATTTTGCTGGCCGTCCCCACTCTTTTTTTGCATCGCCACCAGCAATAGATGAGAGTGTTCTTTCCTCACACCCACACCAGCAGAAGATGTTGCCAAAGTTTTGGATGTTTGCCACCCTGCTCAGGTGTGAAATAGCGTTTTGGGGTAGTTTGAAATGGGCATTTGTCTTGCTATGAGTGAGGTTGAGGGCCATTTTTACGTCTTTTGTGTGCTCTTCATAGTTTTAGGTTTATTTTTCTGACAGATTGTTGGTCTCTTCTTGATTTCTAGGAACTTTTGATATATTAGGGCTATTAGCCCTTTGTGGAATGGGTTGCAAATATTTTTCCCCCACTTTGTCAGTTTATCTCTTGACTTTGCTTTATGATATCTTTTTGGTCATGCAAAAGTCGTTTTTAAATTTTTAATCAAATTTATCAATATTTTGTTATTTCTTCTGGATTTTAAGACCATTTCTAACACACACACACACCCCACCCCCCACCCCCCAACCCTAGGCTTATCAGGGAAACCATTCATGGTTTATTTAGTACTTGTAGGACCTTATTTCTTGCATGTAGATCTCGGATCCATTTGGGACTTATCCTAGTTTTAAGAATGAGGTAAGGGTTCAATTTGACCTTTTTCCAAATTGTGATCCAGTTATTCCAGGATCATTTAGTTGAAAGTTTGTCCTTTCTCCACTGATTTGGGATGCCACCCTCGCCATGTAACAAGTTTCCACATTTGCTTGGGTCAATTTCTGGACTCTACTCTGTTCCAGGGATCTCTTTGTCCCCTTGCACATTGCTGTTTTTGTTATGGCAGCCTTCTTAGGTTTTATTATTTTTTTTTTAAGATTTTATTTATTCATGAGAGACACACACAGAGAGGCAGAGACACAGGCAGAGGGAGAAGCAGGCTCCACGCAGGGAGCCCAATGTGGGACTCGATCCCAGGTCTCCAGGATCACACCCTGGGCTGAAGGCAGGCACTCAACCACTGAGCTACCCGAGCGCCCATCCTTATTAGGTTTTAGTATCTGTTAGGGTTCAACACCTCCTCTCCCACCCCCACCATCCACTCTCTTTGCCTAGGTTCTCCTGGACATTCCCACTCGTTTGATTTTGCACACGAATGTTAGAGTCAGCCAGTTCCACTAAGTTACCATGTTGAAATTATAAACTGATTTAAGAACTCTCACCTTTATGATGAGGTCTTCGTATCCAGGCACATTTATATCTTTTTGTTCAAGTCTCCTTTGAATAATTTAGGAGTAATTTTACTCAAGTGTTCCTTAAAGATTGTCCTTAAGACTTTTCACATTTTTGGAAAAAGTTTTGCCTGAGCATATTATGTTTCATTTTGTTGCTCTAAGTGGGGCCTTCTTTTCTAACTGGTGACTTTTGTCTGGATGTCAGCTACTGACCTGTGTGTTAATGCTATAACCCGTTATTTCACCAAATTCTCTTAAGTCTACACTGGTTTATCTATTGGTTTTCTTGAGTTTCCCAGAAATATAACCACATATCTGCAAACAGACATGGTTTTACCTCTCTTCTTTCAAATTCAGGTTTCTCAAAGTGATTTATCTCATTGCCTTAGCTAATCTTCTTATACCTTACTATGTCACAGGAGCAGGAGTGGGGCAATTTTGTCTTGTCCCCAACTTCAGTGGGAAAGCAAATTTCCATTAAGATGTTGGCTGAAGGGATCCCTGGGTGGCGCAGCAGTTTGGCGCCTGCCTTTGGCCCAGGGCGCGATCCTGGAGACCCAGGATCGAATCCCACATCGGGCTCCCAGTGCATGGAGCCTGCTTCTCCCTCTGCCTGTGTCTCTGCCTCTCTCTCTCTCTCTCTCTCTCTCTCTCTGTGACTATCATAAATAAATAAAAAAAATTAAAAAAAAAAGATGTTGGCTGAAGATAATTATCAATTCTTAGCATCTTTTAAAAATCTAGAATGCATGCTACATTCTAATTGCCCTTTCTGTGTTTGTGAGGATACCGTATGCCTTTTTCCTCAGATGTTAATACAATAAATTGTATTGAACCATCCTTGCTTTCCTGGAATGAATCTCACTTGGTGGTGGTAGTGGTTGTTTTTAATGCACCATTGGTGTCTATTTCACGAGGAAATTCTGGAGGAACTAGTAGGAGGTAGAGCTCACAGTGGGCAGCCATGGAGATCTAGGGGTCTCCTGAGACCAGTCAGGGAGGGCAGAGCAATGGTACAGGTGAGCTGGGAACTCTTGTATCTTACCCAGTGCGAGTGAAGTATCTGGGCAACAGGAAGGCAAGTGAAGACTGCTTAAATCCATCTTAGAGGGAATATTTCAATCTAAATATCCATCAATCTAGAACTGTTACGGTACATCCATAGAGCTGAATACTCAGGAACCTCCTTACGTGCCGATATGGAACCACCTCCAATTATATCAAGTGAATGAAGTCGAAGGCAAATCAGTATCTTCACCACTTGGAAAAACAAACAAACAAACAAACAGGAAAAAGGACATTGGAGTCAATTCACTTCTATAGTATATGCCTAAAATAGCAGGCTAACTCCAAGGAGGAGTGGCTTCCAGGGACGGTAAAACTGAGTGGCTGGGGATGGTGAGGGAGTCTTCACTCTTCCCTGTTAGTGGTGTTTACTTACGAGCTCTGCCAAGGTCCTACCTATCCCCAAAAATAAACACGTTAAAACACTAACTCAGAGCTAAAAAATAAGATGAACCCAGGGGGCCGCACAATCCTCCTAGACTCCTGATCTCAGCGTGGGGTGGGGGGGGGTGGCAGGGGAGCCACCCTCTAGCCTCTTCCTCACCCAGTCTCCTTGGCGGATGCCTAGGTGGGCCGGGCCCCAGACATCGTCATCGTGTTTGATTGCTCCATGGATACAATGGTCCGAAGAGTGCTGCACCGGGGCCGGGTGGAGCACAGGGCAGATGACTGTGAGTCGGCCATCCGCCAGCGCCTGGAGACCTACTACATGCTGCGTGAGCCAGTCCTGACCTTCTATCAGCAGAAGAACCTGCTCTGTAATGTAGGTACTTCCTGCTTGCCCCTCATCACCTGCCACCAACTCCCCACGGGAACAAGACAAGGGTGATGGCTTGGCCCACATCCTGGACCTCTCTGGGCCTGTTTCCCTACTGTGAACACTGGGAAATTCCATTTCTTCCACTGGGCAGTATAGGCACAGGCTGTGGCCTTCCCGCTAGGACATTTAAGGTCCAAACAGAAGGACTGTCTCCCAAACTGCAACATTAAAAACATTTGACTGCATCTACAAAACCTAAGATTAAGACAACTGGTTAAGCATGGCTCAGCTCAAGTGCAGGGATATACATCCTCCAGGGGGAAAGCAGGGGTATCCTAATTCTTAAAGTGACCCATCTATGAAATCCTCCGGCTTGTCCCCATCTCTGCCTGAAGGCAGGAGTGAAATGAAGCTAAAATGAGGGTGTCCTATGGAACAAGCTTTAACCGATCAATGAGTTTGGGATAGGAGGGCAGGGGCCACAGGGGTTGGGAGGCAATCCCCCACACCTCCCGCCCCTGTGGCCCGCTCCAAGGGACAGTATCTGCACAGCTGGTGTGGCTGAGTGGCCAGCTCTTAGTGACCTGTAACACTGTGCTGCAGCCTTCCTGACCCACTTCCCTCTTCCCTCACCTTGTGTGACCCTGCCACCGTGCTTCCCAATTCTTTGTCCGTACTTAGTAAACAGAGGCCCGCAAACCTGCTTCCCCCGCGTTGGAGGGCTGGACAGTGTCCGGGCTGTGACTCAGAACTGACCTTCTGCTCCCCCTCCTCTAGATCTTGGCAGAAGAAGCTCCAGAAAACATTTTTGCCAAGTGCTGCTCTGTCGTTGAAAGCCTGCAGTGACAGGAGGGGCTGGGGGCTCTGTCTCCCCTCCATCCCAGAACACACATAGGGCTCAGAAGGGGGACAGGCTTGTGAGGTAAGGTATGTAGGACGGCAGGCCAGGCTTTAATCTGAGCTGACTCTCCAGGAGACCCCAAACCGAGCCCCTTTCTGGGCCATGGCACCACAGGGGTGGGCTGAGTGGGGGCCACCACCCACAGGAGCAGGTTCCTACAAGGCTAGAGAAAGCCTGGTGGGGCAGGGGGCTCTGAGCTGTTCTGGGCTCCTGTTTGGTGCTGCTTCAAACCTGAGAGCCCAGGATTCTCAAGTTGAAACCTGATCTGCATTAGTATTCAACTAAAAACCCCAAAAGAACACTCCGGCCATACAGTAGGCCTCGAGATCAGCCCTTGGGTTCACTCTGTCTCCTGTCCTCACCCTTGGGGAGGCCGTGGCCTCCCACCAAGCACGGATCTGGTGCCATTTCTTACCAGGCCTGGTTTCCACCTTGGGGCACGCGGACAGAACAGGCCCCAGCCAGGTGCGCACCAAGAGCAGTCGGACTCCCGTGAGGCACACGGAGCCAAGCGTTTGCTGTGATGGCAGGCTGCGTCCATGGAAACACCTCTCCCCAGGGACTCTCCTGGGTGTCTTGCTCCCCATGTTCCCAGAGGAGAAACATGGGATGGGGTTAAGACTACTCCCCCTAGGCTCAACCTGCTATTCCCCTTTCTGCGAGGCAACACCAGAACAGTCTTTGGGGGGCCCATTCCCCCCATTCTTATTGGCCAACCCCTGTTCCTCTTCAGCTTGTTTCCTCTACGAACACAACTGCGGCCAGCACGCAGTTTTTAGACAAAAAGCACTTTATTTAACCAAAAAAAAGGGGGGGGGGTTAGGAAAGCACAATGCGCCTGCAGAAAACTATTTTTTCTTATAATTCTTTTTCTTAAAAAAAAAAAAAAAAGGAAGGAAGGAAAGAAAAAACACAACACAAAGCTTGTAATTTCCAATCACCATTATCAGGCTTTTACAACATCTATAAAGAACAAACAAACATCTGCTTCAAAACTCTACAGGGGGCAGGGGAGAGGAGAGAGGAGGGAGGGGGGAAGAGGAGGAGAGACTGAGAGAAAGAGAGAAAGAGACGGCACCCAGCAGACACGGGGAGGTTTTGTTATCATTTATTTGTGAAGTTAAAAACGAGCGATAAAAAGTAAAAACTGCCATACAATTTGTTGTTTTGTTCTCAATTTGTCCTCTTGAACAGTTGAAACCCAAGACCAGTCCCGGGAGTGGGGGGCAGGAGGGGCTGCAGGGGAGCCGAGCGAGGCAGGGGGGAGGAGGAGAGAGGAGGAACAGAGGCCGAGGGGCTCGACTGGGGGGGAAGGGGGCCTGCAATAGCAACACCTGGTCCAAGGAATGTTCCAACTCTAACTAAAAAAAAAAAAAAAAAAGAAATAGCAAGAGTGACTTTTTTTCCTTTTTAAAAGTTTATTTTAAAAACATGAAGAGGGCCAAGGGTGGTAGGAAGAAAATGAATTGCTTTCCCCTGAAAGAGGCAGTTTCAGGAAGGGATAGAGATTTTTATATATATATATATAATTTTATAGGTTTTGTCTGCTTTTTGTGTTTTTTATATTTTAAATTTTTTTTCTTTTTTGGCAGAGATTTAATTCTATCTTCTATGGCTGGCTCAACATGAAGGATCCCAATTTTGAAAGAAAAAAGCATGAGACACACAGAATGAGCGAGAGAGTGAGAGCCCAGCATCACCCAGGCCGTGACCTCCAAGCCACTCAGCAAAGGCTTCCCCACAGCACCTCCCACAGCAGCTATCGCTCTCTCGCCAAACAAACGAGGAAAAAAAAAAAACAAAAAAACAAAAAAAAGCCCCCAAACAGAACAAAATGGAAAAAAAAAAATAAAAGATTTTCACAGATGAAGAAGTTCACATTCATTCGATTCATTGAGCCTGCGGAGAGGGAAGAGATAGGAATCGGTCACTACGGGGAGGGGAGGAGGGGGCGGGAGACGGGGGACAGCGGCAAGGAGGGGGCCAGGAAGCCCCTCTCCTGAGCCTGTGGCGAGCTCAGGCTGCAACCATGTGTTTGTAACTGTCTAGTCAAATGCTCCGGGGACCTCGGCTGAAGTCAGACTGGCTCCTTGATGGAGGAGGAGGAGAAAGAGTGACGTGAAGACCAGGAGGAGAGAAGCAAGGGCCACAGAGGCAGAGCGGGAAGAGAGGGAGAGAAGCACGCTCAGGGACAGGGAGGGAGGAGGGGTGCCCTCTGTCTTCAGGAAGGCAGGTGCTCCGGCGCATCACAACATGACAATCTCAGAGATCACGGTGTCCCCACAACACCCCTGTGAGGTAGGTTGGAAGGTGGCGGCGATCGTCATGCCCACTTCACAGACAAAACCGGGACACAGAGGCAGGCGCGATAGCGGAGGAGGCGGAGCCCAGGAGGGGCGGGAGGGGCCCTGGGGCGGGTCCCCTTGGCGAGCTCCCCCAAGGCCCACCAGAGCCAGGGCCGACCCACGCTGGGGCCGCCTGCAACACATAGTCACTCGGACACGGGGAAAAGATTGTGGGGTTAAAAATAAAAGAATGCAAAGAACAAAACTCAAAAAAGTAATGCAGAGAGGGGAAAACACATCCGTTTTCTTCCCAAGTGGCCAGATTTTGAGTGAGCGAGTTAGCGGCCAGGATGGCGACCAACCGTCTGTGCTGCCGGCCTGCCCCCCACCCCCAGGACTACCCACCAGTTCAACAGTTCCACCTTGTATTTGTTTCGCGCTTTCCCCCAGCATCGCGACAGCGTGACACAGGAACAAGCGGGCCGGCGCGGGGAGGCCTCTTCGTTTAACCTCTGGACCCAGCGCACACTTCCCCAGCTCGCGGGGACTCCCGGAGACCTCTGGCCACACGGCCCCCGCTGCAGGCATCAAGGACACACCCCGCAGGGGAAGGGATTTCCGGCGCTCCCCACTAAGGCAGGATGGACGGTGGCCGGGGGTTGGAAGGAGAAAGGAGGAGGAGGGGGGTGGCAATTTCCACTTGCCTGCTGCTGTCCCTGCTGTGTGGGAGGAGGCTGCGGGCCGCCGGGACCTGGAGTCTGGCCGTAGTAAGCGGCCTGCTGTCTGTAATACTCGGCCCAGGCGGCACTGTAGTCTGGCTGCGAGCCCGGGGGTGCTCCCGGACCCCCTCCGGTGGCCACTTGAGCTGCAGGGAGGCAGAGGGTGAGCGAGTGCAGCTGGGGGCTCGAGGGCCCAGCCCTGCCCCTACCGCGTGACCCCAGCGGCTCACCCTGCTTCTTGTAGTACTCCTCCCAGGCCTTCGTGTAGTCCTGCTGTGGGGGTGCTCCGGGCTGCTGGGGCTGCTGGCCTGAAGGGGGGAGGCATCAGGAGGTCAGAGGACGGCACAGGGAGGCAGCTGCCTCTCAGCAGCCTCTAGTAGACCAGAGGCCCGGCACTGGCCCGCACCCACTCATTGGATCTTTTTTCTTTTTTAAAAGATTTTTTATTTGACATATAGAAAAAGAAAAAGAGAACTCACACACACGCAAGTAGGGGGAGCGGCAGGCAGAGGGAGAAGCAGGCTCCCCGATGTGTAGCTTTGATACCAGGACCCTGGGATCACAACCCAAACTTCAGACGCTTAACTGACTGAGCCACCCAGGTGCCCCACACTCACCGATCTTTTTGTAATACTCTTCCCAAGCCTTCGTGTAGTCTGATTGGCCGGCAGGTGGGGGCTGAGGGGGCTCACCCTGGGCAGGGGGTGCCGCAGGGGCTGGTGCAGGGCCCGGCACGGGGCCTGGGGGCTGCTGGTAGTAGTGTGAGTAGTAGGCGGCCCAGGCAGCGTTGGGGTCTGCAGCGGCTGCAGCTTTATCTGTAGGAGGGCAGGGGGCTGAAGGGCAGAACAGGGAGCCGGCCCTGCCCTCCCCATGGGGGCACCCAAGCCCTGTCCTGACCCTCAGCCAGGCAGCCTTACTTACTTGGGTCATGAGGAGCAGGTGGTTGCCACTGGGGATAGGTATTGCCCCAGCCCTGGGGTGGGTACTGGTGAGGAGGGGGGCCCCCCGCACTGCAGGACAAGAAAGGGAGAACAAGTGAGCCGGGGCTGCTCCTTCACAGGGGCAGGGAAGGCTAGTAGGAAGGGGCCCAGGCCAGCCCCCTGCTTGTACTCAGCCACAGGCCCTTTGCCCAGAAAAAAGTGAGAAGAACACAAACTCCATTGGCTTAAGGATGTGAAAGTCCCCCCAAATTCAACATACATGAGTTTGCTTATCAGGTGGGGAGACTAGAGTCAACACGTGTGACATCTTTTACAAATATGCATGAAACAGGAGGCTGGGCTGGATTGCGTCTTGGACCAGTGCAATCAGCACTTCTTGGTGGTGAATGAAAATGGGACCCGCTGCTCTTCTTGCCAGCACGGCAATCCCCATATCCCAAATCCCAGGAAGCTGAGAGGAATACTCACTGCGGGGGAGCCCCAGGTGGCCCCTGATTGAAAGGCCCGGGGTTGAATGGCCCCATGGGGCCTGCAGGGCCTGGTCCCCCTGGGCCTGGTCCAACCGGGCAGAGGGGACCCTGGAGGAAGCAGAAGCAGACATATTTAGTTCAGGAGTGGGAGGAGACAGGAGATGGGTCTAGGCTCCTAAAACCCTTCCCTGAGCCCACCTCAATCTTTTCCTCAATGAGCTGCTTGGCGTGGTCAATCTGCTGGGGTGAGCCCCGGATGATGAATAATTTGAAGTTGGGGTCCCCGTTGGGCGGCAGCTGCCGGGAGATCTCCACGAAGGCGCCTGTCTGCTGGTTTATGGCTTTCACATTCTCACCACCTATGGGAAGCCATAAGCAGTGAAGGGAAGGCAGGAGGAGTGGGCGGGTGAGGAGCAGTATGCACGCAGGGCCTACTCACCTCGGCCGATGACCAGCCCACACTTGTGGGTGGGGATGGAGAAGGTCATCTCTCCCCCAGGAGGGCCCCAGTTGCCCTGGCCTCTTCCTCG